CGGTTGCCTAGCAACGCTGGTCGGCGGCGGCCGTTGGCGCTGAGGAGCGCTGTGAGGAGAGTCGCCATCGCGCTTCCGCGTTCGCTCCGCGCCGCCCGCCTTGGAAGAGGCACCCCTTTGCGGCCCTCGCACCCAGGTGGGACGTCTGAGGGCTGGGCGGCTGGGTCGTGGCTATGGTCAGGGTGGGGTCACAGCGGTGACTCAGGCCAGGGCCTAGATGTCTGCCTGAACACCTTGGCAAATACAAGCAGCTCTCGTGTAAAGCCTGTTGAAGTCATTGGAAGGCTCTTATTGACTCTTCTAGGACCCCAAACAGGTCCTGTGAATGCCGACGCGTGTTAAGGGATCTAAGAAGCACAGCCATCTCCTCCAGCCACTCTGGCCCAGCACCTCTCCTGCCCGGGGACCTGCGGCCTCTGCCTGGGCGGAGGGATGCAGCTACTGCTTTCCCATTTGCAGGCTCAACCACTCACAAAGCTGAGCGTGTATTACAGACATAGCTGGTCACACAGCCTGCCATAGATGAGGCGTTGCCTTCAACAGCAGCTACATACAGGACTCTCTCAAAACATAAACACATACGAGTCCCTTTCTGCCTCTTTCACTGGTAGCAACAAAAGTTCACTGCACTGTAGTGCAGGCACACACACACCACTCTCTAGGTTCACAAGCACACACGCATTTGCAGATCCCTCGAGTACCAGCATGGCCCCTCTGCCTGCCCAGCAGCTCTGCACAGATCCCAGGCCCCTTTACCTGCTTCATGGATCCCCTACTTGCCCACTAGTCCAGCTTGATGCTTGCTAGCAAACATGCATGCACACACCTGTCCCTCATGCACTCCACGTTCACATGTCCCCTTGCGCGTACCAGCATGGACCCCCTGTCTGCTTGATATCCACGGTCCCCCTATTCACCAGCTAGTTCCGTAGCTGACAACACAGGCCAGGGGTGCCCTGGTGTGACTCCAGTAGCTGGCACCAAATCCACTCACGCCAGTCCTCCCAGTAGCTGACACTCTGGGCACAAACTCTGTAGGGACCCTCCCTAGATCCAGAGAGCTACGACCCCTCCAACTACTGATGCTGGGATCCCCACTCGCTCCAGCAGCTGACACCACAGGCTGCAGGGTACCCATATCCCCGGTCTGACTCCAGGAGCTGGCACCAGTTTTCTCTTATGCACACAGGTGTCACCAGCAGCTGGCAATTAGTCCTTGCAGCACGCATACACACAGGTTAGAAAGTGAGATTACACGGAGTTAAGATTTAATAAGTGGATATAAGAAGGTAGGACAGACTGTGATGATCAGGTGTAGGGCTCAGCCAGGCAAGTGTACTGTCTAGCCCTGTTTTACATGTGACCGGCCTCTTTTATACTCCTTTCTGTCTACTCCTGTCTTTGTTCCTCCCCGCTCCCCTTCCCCTGCACATCCCTCACGGGTTTGTACAGCTCTATGAATTCCCACACCCCTCTGAGTCTGGGGTCCCCCTGGTTTACAATCAGTTGCAAAGTCCAGGTTGATCTTCTGGAATTGGTGCTTGTAGTTTCTTGATAGCCCATCAATTAGTGTGAGTGGTGAGGTTTGTTTCTTGTCATGGTCTCTGTTTGTTTTGTCAGGTCTGTGTCTCTGTATATTTTGTTTCTGGTTTCCCCTTTTTCCCTTAGTTTCCCAACTGACAAGGTCCCAGATCAGATAACCTTGTTCGAATAAACATTCTCACACTCCCACAGGCCCTCATTAATTAGTGTGACTGACCAAGTTTGGTTCTCATCACCGCCTCCCTTATCATTTGCTGGTCAGGTTTGTGTCCCCATATGCTCTTGTTTTATGGCTCCCTTCCTTTCTTATTATCCCTTGTTGCACTGAAAAGGTCCTTGACCAGACGCTCTTAAAGGAGCAGACACTCTCCTTCCACATACCTTTACAATTTGTATAAGCATGAAGGAAACTACCATATGCAAGCCCAGGCTAGTTAGGATTGTATAGAAATTGTGCTGTGATTGACATTAAAAACTGTTTTCCCAAAGCCAAAACAGGTATATGAAATCTCACCATTTCCCCTAAATTAAGAGTAGGCAAACATTGTCATCTTAGCAAAGTCCACTTAATTGTTCAACAATCCTCTTTAAATAAGAAGTGTTAGTATTATGCTGAATATTTTCTTACCATTCTCTTGCATTCTTTCATTTGCCTGTGTCTGTCTGCTGTCTTTTGTCTTTTCCCTGAATTGTAGGCTGTCTGGAGTACAGCTCCTCTCATGCTCTTGTACAATGAAACCAGCTCTATGCTCGGAACTCAGAGGCACTACAACAGACAGAGAGTGCAATTTTTAAAGGTCTTAAATAGCAGCCTAAAGATATCAGGATAGTGCTTTTATTATTCGAAGTCACCAAGCTGGCACTTTAAATATGTGACCTTTATATATATTTTTTGAGCAGGAACGCCTGCGGACAGGCCATCTGAATTAATGGTGACTCAGGAAGCGCCATGCATATCTAGATGTCTGGAAGAAGCACATTCATTAGATGAATTCAGTACATCCTATAAAGAAGTAATTAACACTAGTAACATGTAAGTTATCATAAGACACTTAAATTCATTATAGTTTAGCATTTATTAAGATCTAATGTTATTGCTAATAATATTGACTGTCTAAAGTCCCAGACTGACAACAGTTCTCATCAAACATGAGCATACAGGGTATGAAAAATTCTGTAACGGCTACAAAAGGGCCCTTTGTAGCAAAGGAGAAAAAAATTATGTTGGGATAGGTATCTCAAAGACTACACTAAAGATTTATAATAAGGATATATGCTCAGCATGTTAATTTGTATGTGACACCTCATAACTGGTGGGAAAATCACCTTTTTTTTTTTTTTTAGCAAATGGATGCCTTCAATTACAAAATGCTGCAGAGCCTGGTAAAAGAATGCCAGAAGACAGCCCTTGTGCATATTTTTATTGATCTTTAATAAAGTGTATGCAGTAAGAGATGAAAGGGCCTTTCTTTCTGTGCTGATGGCTCTCGTACAGTTAGACGACAGAAATGCAGACTTCTGCTGTTTCCACATTATGATAACGATAATTCTTGATATCATTTTCCCAAAGATTTTTATGCTGTGGTGCGATTTTTTTTTTCTCCTTTTCTGCCTTTCTAACAGACTTAAGGGCATTTGTGCATTTGATAAGACATCAGCGTTCAACTTTTCAAGCACTCAGTTGATATAGGAACTTGCTAAGTAAGGAAGTTTAACTTCCTTTACTGCACAGGATTTGGAGACAGCATACTACCCACAGGGAGTGAGACTATGTTCATCCTCTCACTAAAAAATCCAGAAGCTTTTTCTCCTTTGAAGATACCTTCCTAATTATGAAGCTGAAGTTTGGTGACATTACAAAACGACGAAAGGACTCATTTCTGATCGTATCTGCTAGGCATGATAGTGTTCTGTGTGTTTTGCTTGCAGAGGCAGCATAAAGTTCTATTTTAGTAGCAGAATAAGATACACTCAAGAAAGCAAATGCAGTGAAATTCAGATATAAGGTAGAAGTCAAATGATTCATATTTTTTTGAAATATAGTTCAAATCCGTCACTGGTGAGTTTCTACTGACTCCGCAATTTTTTTTTTTTGATTGCTTATTTTATTCTTTTTTTTTTTTTTTTTCCCCGGTTTGAGTTTCATCTTGTCCCAGTTCTGCTCTGTTCAGGTTTAGCAGTTGATTAACCTATTTACTATTTCTCAGATTGAACAAACGGGTTTTGTGTGAGGAGGAAGTCAGTGGCAGTCAGTGCAGATTTTGAGGGGACAAGGGTAGGATAGGATGAATTTTGGTAGGTTGTGCGCCTTGCCTCCTTATCCAATTTATTTCTTAAGACCTCATCTTTGTCATCTCCACTGTGGCCATGTGACTGGCAGTGCATTTCTCCTTTTCCCTCCTCTCCCATCCTGAGCGTTTGCTGTTCTTCAGTTGCCCAGCTCTTCATTTTGTGGTTCCCAGTTTGGTGTCCCTTCAGTAGGCAGAAAGAAAAACCTGAAAAACTGCCTGCCCCAAAGGGATAGCAACTGTGAAGATGTGAAACTAAAAAAAATTACTGGGTTTTTTTTTTTTTTTTTAAATGCATCAATATGCACAAATAAACTTCAGGTAGGTTAAGTTGAGGTGTAGAGGTGTATATAGAAGTATAGATGAGTTGGGTTTTGTTTGAGATCAAGTAGTGCATTTAATTCGATTCCAACTCAGACTTTTTAACCTCAGACTTTGAAGGGAAGATAATATCGTACTGTCTGCAATTCCTTTATTTTTAAATTTTGTTCTACCTATTTGTATATGCCCCTAACAAAATCGCTTGCTTCTGTCTTCTCTGTTTAACTTTTAAAAATCTAATTTCAGGAAAAATTCTGAAGTTTCTGGAGTCATGGCTAAAGCTGACATCAAACCAAAATCTATATATCATGCCAAAAAATGGTCAGATGATGTAGAGAACTTATACAGATTTCAGCAAGCGGGATACAGAGATGAGGTTGAATATAAACAAGTAAAACAAGTTGATATGGTAAGATTTAGAACTCTGCAAGGGTTATTACTTTAAACTTCTGTCTCATTAAATGATTAAATAAAAATGGAGGTGCCGCTTATTTCCTTTCAGTTAGGCTAGTTTCTGATACAGATTTTTCTCCCAGGTCTGACTTAAATTCTTGGGCTATTATTAACTGTGCAGAATAACTTATTTCACAGAAGTGAAACAGAAACACTACCCAGCCTGTGTTTTTGTTCCCCCTCTCTCATGCATTTAGAAGCATTATAGATTTCTTTGAATAGATGTAGCTGCTATCTAAAAGAATAATTTGGTTTTGAGGAAAGGAATTTATCAGGGTTAGTTCTCTGTGAAGTTTCCCCATCACTCTGCCAATAGACCTGACAGGAAACTCACTCATTGTCCAGGGAGCCAGTCCTGTGTCATTGTTACTGACCTCAGTTTTATGGTTGAATTGCATGGTAGCATAATGAGACTTCGTGCACACTCAAAACTCGGCTTCTACTGAAACTGTCCACGATAGAAATATTTGATGCCAACTGTGGTAAAGGGAGTTGTGACACAGACATTTATCAACTGAGAACATCAAGGACTTGGTCCTCTGTTCACTATAGTTGATGGCAATATGCTCCCTAGCACATCAAATGAGCTAATGAATAATGGCTGGATATTCAGTGGCTACTTGAGATTCAAAATAGCAACCAAGAGGTTAATACAGCAAACAACATACTATCTTTATTAGAGCTCTGTAATTTATCTTCCAAAGCAGCATATATAGTATGAAAAATCCACTTTTAGAAGATTTTAACCTCCTGGGCACGTAAGTCAGAATGTTCCTAAGAAAGTCACTCCTCACCCAGTTAACTCAAAATATATGAAAATGTTGATGTGCATAATAAGATGCAGTTTATTCTTTTGTCATGGGCTCAGGTAACACTGTAAAGGCTGTGGTGTAAATTCCTTTAACTGTGCAAAAGGAAATCCTGTAATTAGTGTGATAGGATCAGTCTGTTTAAAATTTATGGCAGGGCATAACTGTAAACAATTAAACCCTGATAAAAAGTTAAAGAACACCACTTACTCAGTGTAAGATGAGCATGCATTCTCTTCAAACTTGCCAGGATCTGGCAGTGTTTCTCCTTCAATTTACATGTTGTGAAATGTCTTGTTTATTCCATACCATATTATGTTTCCATAATGCAGTTGTTATTAATGATGCAATTATAATATAGGTGGAATGAATATTAAGGCTCTTATGTTTAGACAGAGGATGCAAATAACTCAGCTGTATGTCCAAAGTAGTAAGGCAAGTGATGAAACTACCACTTCTGGAACTCTCCAATTAGAGAATGCTGTAGTTTGACATTCTGTTGTCAACCCTGCCTGGAAGAGAAATAAGATTCTTATTACCTGATTTTTAAGGTTCAATTTGATCAGAAGTAGTCATAGGTGTTCAAGCTGCAGATAGCCACTAAAGCCATAAAGCTGTTGAATGTACAAGTGCTCAAGCCTTTAGTTAAAGCTTCACAATGTGGAACACTGAAGAGCACCAGGATGGTACTGGTTTCCTGCAGGACTGATCCTGCTGTATTTGAGACTATGATACATGTAGCTCCCTTTATTTTTACGAAATTGCTAATGAAAAGCACGATATACGCATTTTTCATGGTCAGAAGGATCCCGAAGAAAGTGTGTGTCAGTCTTACAGAAGTGGAATCTTTTAGCCTCTCAGAGTACTGAATAACATCAATGTTTTTTTCCTAAACAATGTATTTTAAAAGCTTTAACTAGTCCACTTTTTAAATTACTCTAGTCTATCAAATATTCTTAGATCCTTATTTCTAGACTTTTCTGATCACAAAATCCTTTATACTAGACCAGAAAACTGGTTTCTGACATCTTGCTCTTAATCTTTTTTTAAAAGCTAAGCAAATTAATAGCAAAGTACCGTTCAGATGCGAATGAGTTTTTCCCATGGAAGTATACCCTATATTCTTTCCAATGTAATGCGTAATCATTTAATGTGAGCATGTTCAGGTGAATGTATATCCTTTTTATTCTATTTATAGGTAGAGTGTTGGCCAGAAACTGGATTTGTTAAGAAACTTCAGAGGAGGGATAATACATTCTATTATTACGATAAACAAAGAGAATGTGAAGACAAAGAAGTCCATAAAGTGAAAGTTTATGTGTATTAGTTGTGTTATTCTAATCTGTTTGTATTTTTTATAAATCTGTTTGTTTGTTAGAATCTGTCAGTAAATGAGATTTGTGTAATCTGACTTACCTTAAGTATCGATGTCATTCTTGGATGGAAGGGGGAATAGAGGAAAAGTGGAGAAGCCTGGAACTATAGACATAGGAATTCCAGGTTTTTCCTGCTATAACCAAAAATCTTATTATCCCTTATTTTCCTAGTTACAAATGTTTTGACATCAAAAAGATAAAAAGCTGGCAAATAGGCATCATATATTTGGTTTAACTGTGTGCAAAATCCATTATAAGTAGAGGCATCAATCTTTATTCAAAACAACACAATCTTGTTGACACTGGCTAATGTCAACCACAGTCTCTTGGTATAGCTAAATGTTATTAGACTACAAAGGGCCAAAGTAACGCCAAAAGGCTAAAGTTCCCTTGGAGAATACAAGAATAACAAGCAGAGAATTTAGTGAAGGACTCCGAACAATCAAGTAGCAAGGATCAGTGCTAAGCTGCAGATTTAAAAACTAGTTATTGTGATAGAAAGAGTCACAACAAAAATGTCTTTCTGAGCAATAGGTAAGGTATCCCCAGAGTGTTTTTGTCAGGTGCAAGTATTAATTACTTGAGGAGGAAGTATTAATTGACTTGGCAGCATATGCCGTTTTATGGAGGGGGAAAAAAAGATTGAGGATTTACCTGTGGTGGGATCAGGGAGTACAAAACTGTAGGGAGAACATGAAATCCATACCATGTAATATTTAAGGTTAGGTAACATATGCAGCTGATATGTGGGATTTCTGGGCAGAATTCATCTCATCTAACTTCAAATGTCATGCTGTCCACGTCTACACCTGACCTTGTCATTTGGAGACCCTTTGTTCTGAATGGAGAGAAGTTGGCTCTTCTGGGCACAATTATGATTTCTTCTAAATGTAGATATGTAATATTTGCTTTGAACACGTTGCTGTGACATCAGCCCTGCAGAAGCTGTCCATACATGTGCTACTCTGAGACACACGGTAAACGCGAGGTACCATACTTACCTTCACTCATTAGGGAATTTAAGTAAAATACTTTAAGATGCCAAAACTCTAGATAATTGACCAGTAGGACAGATTATGGTTATGTAAACCAGGAGGTGTGTTCATCATAGTTAACAGAAAAAATGTTATTAATATCTCCTGTCTCTAGACTGTAAACCAAAACTAAGTTTTAGGCATGGATTAGCAGTGTACATTTGACCATCTGTCAAAGGATATTCCTCCTTCATTTGAACCTGAGGTGGTGGCCAACTCAAGATGAGAAATAGAGGACTTATGGCTCAAAGTCAAAATAAGTAGTATAGATGCAATATTCAGAAGATCTCATTGACAATAGGTGATGATGATCTAGTCACCTTATTTAGACTACTGGAAATTTTTAGCTTAAATTTGTATGAGCTCTGTTGGAGAAATGACTGAAAGGTACTCAGAAGCAACTGTGAAGCTTTTTTATTCCAGGAAGGTTTTAATGGTTTTAAATAAATATACAATTACTGCAATGACAGAAATAAAGCATTGCTACGGTAAATTTCAATTCAAATTTTCATTATGATTTCTTTTTTATTTGGATTGCTCTGGATATACTTTTTAAGAGAGGACTTTTTGCATGCTTTGCCATCAAATAGTGGGAACAGAACAATTATCAGGATAATCCATCTATTTTGTCACTTTAAGATAGTGGATCTCGCTTTGTTAACTTCATAGATTCCTAAAAAAGAAATTTTCCAGTGGTTGTGAAAAGAGCCTTTAAAAATTCACAAAAATAGATATGTTGTATAGCCAATTCAAATTTATTGGCAGAAATTATTGCTATGAGCACACAGAGAATAAGTGAGAATGTTTGGTACAGCCATTTTCTCAGTCTATAAAAAAGACATAGTTAGGTATTCAAGACAGGAATTAAAACTGCAGGTAACTTTTTAGAGCTTAACTTTCTTTTAAAGAAAGACTTTAAAAAATTGAAACAACTGTAAAAGACGATTCCTTCCTTCATTTTACCTGACTGCACCTCAATGTTTTTGCAATACTGCTGGATGCTTTCTCTCTTGTATTATGTTCTAAAACAATGAATGTGCATTTCATACAGCCCATGGAGATTTCTTTATTTCAAACAAGTAGCATGGGAACTCCTGTTCCACTTCTGAAATACTGATTTTGTATGAGTTGGCAGACTCTTCTCACTTGAGACAGTGAGTTACCTAGATTTTATTACTTACATTTTTCAGCATTGTCAATGTGCTAAAAGGTTGAATCTCACTGTAATATTTAAAACATTAATGGGGTGAAAAGGAAAGAAAAGCCTTGTAATTAGTGCTGGAGACCAGCTTACGGACATAGCCTTTGTCAGCCCTAATGCTGTATTTGGAAGTTCACTCACCTCACAAGCAAAATAGCAGGTTTTGTATTGGCAGTGGCAGTTTCAGTTATAATTGTCCTTTGACATTCAGTTCATTTCCATATTTCACTTCAGTTCATGCTAATCTTAAGGTTAATTAAAACCACTTTCTTTTTTTTAAAGGCCTTAGCTGTGTAATGGCCTTAGCTATGAAGCCAAAGGGGTTCCTCTCTTTAAAAAGAAACAGGTACTGGGGTTCTTGCCTGAGTTCAAGTTTGTCTATGATCACAAAATAATATTAATCCAGTATAAGGACGTTTGCTTGAGTTGATTCTTTGAATCATAAAATAGTTTGGGCTGGAAGGGACCTTCAAAGGTTGTCTAGTCCAACCCCCTGCCATGGGCAGGGACATCTTCCACTAGATCAGGTTGCTCAAAGCCCCGTTCAACCTGACCTTGAACACTTGCAATGATGGGGCATCCACAACTTCTCTGGGCAACCTGTCTCAGTGTTTCACCACCCTCACCGTAAAGAATTTCTTCCCTATGTCCAATCTAAACCCACCCTCTTTCAGTTTAAAACTGCTGCCCCTTGTCCTGTCACTACAGGCCCTGGTAAAAACTCTCACTCTGTCTTTCTTATAAGCCCCCTTTAAGTACTGAAAGGCTGCAATAAGGTGTCCCTGGAGCCTTCTCTTCTCCAGGCTGAACAACCCCAACTCTCAGCCTTTCTTCACAGGAGAGGTGTTCCATCCCCCTGCTAATTTTTGTGGCCTCCTCTGGACCCGCTCCAACAGGTCCATGTCTTTCCTGTGCTGGGGGCTCCAGAGCTGGACGTGGCACTGCAGGTGGGGTCTCACCAGAGCAGAGCAGAGGGGCAGCCCAGGATACGGTTGGCTTTCTGGGCTGCAAGCACATAAGTGCCAGACTATGTCGCATTATTTGTCCACCAGCACCCCCAAGTCCTTCTCTGTGGGGCTGCTCTCAATGCATTCATCCCCCAGTCTGCACTGACACTGGGGACGGTCCCAACCCAGGTGCAGGACCTTGCACCTGCCCTTCTTGAACTTCATAGACCCACTCCTCCAGCCTGTCAAAGTTCTTCCTGAAGTGGCTTTGGTGTTCAGCTGTGCTTGTTGAGCATAAAGCTGATACTCAAGTACTAACAAGTTTTCCTCTGCTACCAATATGCTGGATGTATCTTTTTCAATCAAAAAAGCTGTCAAAAGAATTTAATGTGTCAGTATATTCTCTTATTTGAGAAATCTGTAACTGAAATGTCTTGTCTGTCACCTCAGTTTTAAGCATGTTGAGAACAGCTTACTTGTGTCTTAGTTTAAGGTCACAAAGTTGTGAAAAAAGTATCAGAAGTAAGCAATCTGGGGAAGCTGTGCTTCATTTTAGGGGTGACACAACAGTTCATATCAAGATAAATAACTTATTTCTGAACACCATTACAAAAACTGTTTTTACTGAACTTTAGTACTTTAAAGAGATAAAGATGAAATCACATCTCTCCATTTTATTGCTTGGAGATGAAAATATGTGCTCTTTTGCTGAGTCTTAATAAAAAGTAATTCTGTGAAAATACTTTCCAAGGTACTTTTCCTATCTGTTGGTATTCCTCTTATCAGGCAATGCTGTAATGCTTTCAATGACCATTTGCAGCAGCTCAACAAATGGATGATGGCAAGGCTCCCTGTTAGCAAGTGCTTACCAGCTGCCCAACTCTGATGGACTTGGTCTAATTTTAATTCACTTCATGGCTTTGCACAAGACAAGAATAAATGCTTTCTCTGTCTGTTGAAGCTCATAAAAGGAGGGAAAAAAAAAACTTCTCCAAGACCTACTTTTCAGGCTTTGTGTTTGACAGCTACAAGTGAAATGGCAAGGATGCAACCTCTCTGAACTCATCCAGTTACACTGGGGAAATAAAGGCTGCGTTTGTGTGTTCTAGGCTGGTTTTCTGTTTTCAGCCTTTACTTGAATTCATTATGGAACAGTATTGTCTGAAAGTGATACTATGGTTATTTGATTGCTTTACAGTCACAGCAGCTTGAAGCACCACACCTAAAAATGGTATAAGCGTTTTAATTTTCACTTTGGTACCTGGGTGGACAGTTGTCTTTCCAGCTCTGAAGACACTTGAACCTCAGCCTTTTGGTTTTCAAACATGGTTCACTTGTTTCAAGGTGTTGAAAATGATTGACTGGCTTCAAACTGTTTAAACAACAGCTGTTGATGTTGCTGTTCCTCTGTGCTGGTTTTGGCTGGGGTAGAGTTAATTTTCTTCACAGCAGCTAGTATGGGGCTCTGTTTTGGATTTGTGCTGGAAACAGTGCTGGTAACACAGGGATGTTTTCGTGCTTACACAGAGTCAAGGCCTTTTCTGCTCCTCACCCCACCCCACCAGCGAGGAGGCTGGGGGGCCACAAGGAGTTGGGAGGGGACGCAGCTGGGACAGCTGACCCCAACTGACCAAGGGGATATTCCATACCATATGACGTCATGTTCAGTATATAAAGCTGGGGGAAGAAGAAGGAAGGGGTGACGTTTGGAATGATGGCATTTGTCTTCCATCACTGTTACGCGTGATGGAGCCCTGCTTTCCTGGCGA